ATATATGATGCAAGATCATCCATCCAACCATATCTAATGAAATATAATATTGCGAATACTTAATTCTTTAAATAGTCTTGTTGAAATATTTTACGAGTAACTATATTAATGTAGATTTTGTAACATACTTATGATTTACATTATTATATGTAATCTAAAATTTTTTTTTTAATATATAAAGAAGTTTTATATTTCAAAAAAAATTTTATCTTTTTCTATAAAAAAATTTGAAGATTTGTAAAAAGCTAATTGAATTTAAAGAAATTTTATAGGTAAATTATTTGAAAATTTATTTTTTTTCTTTTTTTTTTATAAAAAAAATAATTTTTTTTAATATTAACAGCTAGTGACAATGACTTGGAGAAGCAACAGGAATTCACATAATGAATCAGGTCAAATTTCACTGAAAAAGTATAATAGTGAAATTTCTATTTACCACAAAGAACTTCCAGTGAGTTTAATTTTTTTTTTTAATAATTTTAATGCTGAAATATATATCCTTAATTTTTTTATCTTTTTATTTTAATTTTAAAAATAAATATAAATACTTTATTTTTCATATAATTAAAATAAAGCAATTCTTAAAATTTATGAGGAAAAGACTGTTATTATTTATTTATTATATTGATATTATTTAAAAATTAATTATATATTTTAAATTTATAATATTAAATTAATATAAATTTATATTAATATTATATTTAAATATAATCAATATTTTAAAAATAAAAATTTTTTTGAAATCTTAGTACATATATTAATGTGTATATTAACTTGTATATATTAATATGTATATATTTTTTATCATGCTATTTATATTAAATTTATTGCAGTCAATTTGCAAGGAAGCACCTTTTAGTGATGATCCAGAAGCACTTGCTGAAAGAAATGCATGTGATTACAATATTCGCATTACATTAAAGATGGCAAAAAGTGGTAAAGGTTAGTATAGTTAAAAATTAATTAGATATTATTTATTAAAAACTTTTGAATGTTGTATTAATAACTTTTGTAATGGTTTAGCTCCCAGAAAAATCAGAGTCTATGCAGATGGTATTTATGATCTATTTCATCAAGGACATGCACGGCAACTTTTACAAGCAAAAAATATTTTCCCTAATGTATATCTTATTGTAGGAGGTAAAAATAATTTTAATTTTTAATATATAGCATAAATATTATATAGTATTATTAAAAAATATTTTTATAAAAAATAAAGATGTATAAAATGTATAATTATTATATAATTATATAATCTCTTATAAAATATGTAATTTTTATAATTACAGTTTGTAATGATCAGTTAACACATAGTAAAAAAGGAAGAACAGTTATGACAGATGTTGAAAGATATGATGCAGTAAGACATTGTCGTTATGTAGATGAAGTGGTTAGAGATGCACCTTGGGAATTAGATGATGAATTTCTTATAAAACATAAAGTAAACTGAAATATATAATATTTTTTCTAGATATATATGAAATATTTATTAAATGTTAGTATTTAATTCTTTATGTTATTTTTAGATTGATTTTGTTGCTCATGATGATATACCTTATATGACAGATGATAGCACAGATGTTTATGCTGCCTTAAAGGCTAAAGGTATGTTCGTAGCTACACAAAGAACAGAAGGAGTATCAACATCAGATATTGTTGCAAGAATAGTTAAAGATTATGATATTTATGTAAGAAGAAATCTTGCGCGAGGCTATAGTGCAAAAGAACTTAATGTTTCTTTTCTCAATGTAAGTATTGTAAATTAGTGAGAAAAAGATATAAGTTGCTATGCTATAACAATAAATAATTGTTATTTTTATTTCATTATAAATATTTTTTAAACAATACTATTTTTAAGCAATGATATTTTACAATAAAATATATTCTTATAGGAAAAAAAATTTCGTTTACAAAATAAATTTGATGATTTAAAAGATAAAGGTAAAAGAGTAATGGAGAATATTGGTGAAAAACGTATGGATATGATTAGCAAATGGGAAGAAAAATCTCGAGATTTTATCGATGCTTTTCTACTTTTATTTGGAAGAGAAGGTAGATTGGTGAGTAGCATGAAAAATTTTGATTTCAATATTAATAATACCTTGCAGACTATCATTAAAAGAATAATTAATATATTATTATATATTATATATTAATTAATATTAATAATTTTTACAGTCAACAATTTGGAATGAAAGTAAAGGTCGTTTAATGCAAGCATTATCTCCTCCTGCAAGTCCAAAAAGAGATGGCAGTCCAAATGGCAGTAATAGCAGCAATAATGATGAAGATCAGACAAGGTACATCACAGCATTCGAGTCAATTGACTAAAATGCAACACCACTTCATTCTGTACTGCTTCTATATGAAAACCTTCAATACTTCACACCACCCATTTGCAGCATGTTATGTTAGTATACAATTCCACTGTTATACATTAGATAAATTTTAAGCAGTAACACACAATTTAACCATTGCTTGTTGTAAAAGATGTGTTTCATTTTCTTTATCCTTTCTATGTATATAATATATGTATAGTGCATAACATAATATTGTCACAAAAATTTTCGTTTAAATATCTACAAAATAAAATGTTACTTATTTAATATTAATTCAAATTAATTGAATTAATATATATGATTTATGTTACAGTCCACCACCGAAAAAGACTGGCCGTTTTGAATATTCGCAGAGTAATTATTATTTAAGCGATGATTATAGCGACGATGAAGAAGAAAATTTGCACTCCAAATGATAACCTCTTTTTTCAAAATCACATTCTTCATTTTGACCAAAAATATCGTGCAATCTCTTTAAAAATGTTTAAAAATAATTTTATGCATCTATGTGATTTATTAATATGGATTGTAATGTTATGCTTAATAATCTTTTTATGCTATGATTTCATACTACATACGATATAAAATTATTTGTTGTAATGATTTCATTCAATCCAATCATGCATTATTATATATTAACTAGATTATATATGTGCATGAACATTACAGAAGTCATATAGATTACTTAAATCGTTACAACTATTCTTGAGAGTTTCATTATCATATCGTTATTTATATTATTAATAAGTTCCTATAATCTGGTTTTGAATGATATTATTGTTCATCTTGAATTTCATAGAAGAATTTCTAATAGTTAAACGCATATTTTCATTTATGCAAGAAAGTCTGTGGTTCAAATGATCAGTTAACAATATTTATTAATTTTCAATTTTTTTGTTACTAATTTTATATAACATTTTTTTACAAGTTATTCTATAATTAATAATTTAAATAATATATATTTGCAGTGAAAATATCTGCAATTAATATTAAATTATATTTTGATTTTTATAATACATAGATGATTTAAATATGTATATATATACATGTATATGTATATGTATATATATTTTTTTCAATAATCCATTTTAAAAGTCATACTGAAGACATTTAGAATTGTTTATGAAAAGTTAGTATACATAAAATTAATATTTACTTATATTTTAAATTGCATTAATGATAAAATAATACGAAAATATGAAGTAAACAAAAAATTTATCGAAGAATGAATTTATGAATTTATATATATATATATTTATTCATTACTATTAATTTAATTTGAACTATGAAATTATTAGAAATTATTCAAAAATTTGTATTACAAAAAGTTGTATTACAAAAATTTTAATAGTATTGAAGAAATTTGAACAAATGTAATTTTATAAATGATTGTTCTTGTTTAATCTAAAGTATTTATAAAATATAAAAATTTTTAATTATTTTTATTAATAAATAATCATGTGTGTAGTAAAATTCTTGAATATGAATCAATAGAATTCAAGAGAATGAATAAAAATCAAAATGAATAATAGAATTTTAATTTAAATAAGTACACATCAAAATAAGAATTATTTTGAAGATGGTGCTTTTATTTGAATATATACAGATATAATAACCCTGGAATGGTACAACCATTTTTATACTTTGAAATCATAATGTAGTTTCATAATATTCTTGTATTATCGTATGATTACTAAAACATTTGAATGAAATATTTTTTTAATATATAAATAAAATATATGATAAAAATAATTATTTTTATTTTCAATATGTAGCATCAGAATAATGTAATTTTTAACGCTAGCAACTTTGTTAATAGCGTATAGTTCCAGGGATAAAAAAGTATACATTAGATGAGTTTTAAATATAAAATCAAGATTTAACATATACATATTAAAAATCTGTAAAAAAAAAAGAAAAAGCATATAAATTTGTATACATTGAAGTGTTTTTGTTTCTTAAAATGTACCAATGGTGCCTGAGTTTAATATCTTTCATTTAAATATATATATATAAAGTAGTATATTTCCGTATGAAGCATGTCATTAAATTTTTAAAGTATATATGTTTATATTTGCTTCCCAATGTAACTGATGCATAAATTAGTAACATGTAATAATACGTGATAAGATATAGTATTTTCGATATCTTTTTTAATGTATACATCCAAAAATATTTAGACACGCACAGTTTTATGATCGATAAAATAAATTTATGTAATTTTAACAGTTTTCCTGTAAATTACACTCTAGATTTTTAAAACAAAAAAAATATCTACATTGTAAAAATTATATCTTAAATGCAAACACAAAATGTAGTAATGTTCCATATTATTTATGTAAGAGCAAAAATAAAAGCTGTTTAATGAAATATTACAAATCGGATTACTTTTTAATTATAATTATAATGTATATATAATTAAACAATTTTTATTATTTTAATATTTCATATTTTTCTTATAAATATTAATAGTTCAATTTTTAAGAAAATTTAATTGACAATTACATGTACATTTTTTTTATTTTTTATGTATAATATAATACATTTTGATTTATGCAATTATATAGACATAACGTTACGAAACGATTTCAATTTAAAAATGTAATAATTATAAAAATACCATTGATTATTATTTAAATATTTGATATTTATTTATTATATATATTTATTTTTTACATAAAGTATAATTATTTAATTACTAATTATATTGTTTCAAAAGTTTAAATTGTACATTTACATTTAAAAAAATAGTATTGTTATCAATGCTACCATCCATTTAAATAAAAATTTAATCATGTCAAATCAAAAAAAAATTGATCAAATCATAAATGGAAATTGTATATATGTATAATTGTGTATTTATATATATATATATATATTTATACATTTTTTTTCTACATTTATATTAAATATATTTTTTATATTTATATTAATTAACATATATTTTCTATATTATTAATTATTTGATTTTTTTATGTATGGTATAATTGCTTAGGAAAGATTAAAATAAAAACTTTAAATTTTTTTATTTTGCATTTTATTTTTTTTATTTTAATTCTTTGCAATTATATAGTACAATAATTTAATAGTAATAGGACTAATAAATAGTTCACTATATTGTTATGCATATATACAATAAAGCTTTTTTATTAAGACTTTATAAATTCATTTATAATTAAATTATAAAATTATCATTTTATATGATTTAATGTTTGTAAATAATTCAACAACTTTCCTGAATTATATTTATACAATTCTTATATTCACTTAATCTTTTTTACTTATATTAAAATTAATAATTAATTTTTTAATATACTAATATTTTTTTTAATACTAATATTTATTTAAATTAATGTAAATATTTTAAATATAAGTATGTAATATCAAATCTGCGAGAAAATAATTTTTTATTATTTATACATTATACGATATATATTATTTATAAATAATTATTAAAGATTATATATTTAAATAAAGTTATTAAGGATTATATATTTACATAATTTTTTGTAGAAAATGTTAATTATATTTTGTTTTTCTATGTACTATAACGAGAAAATAAAACTCAAGATTACAATTTGTATTTAAAATCATGTTTTTTAATATAATTTAATATAAAGCTAAATTCATGCATAACAGCATATAATATACATCTATTGTTGATAACTTCATGCCAATACTAGTTTCAACGGCGCGTCTTAGTAATCATTTATAGTAATTTTTAATATTTAAATTCGTGAAATATTCTTATATCATTGTTTTTCACTATAAATTTCTTTTTTTATACATATTTTTTTTTAAATTTTATACTAATCACAATTTATACTATATTGAGATTTTATTTCAATCTCGATTTATCAATCCCTTTGTCAATGATAATATGAATTTTTATATAGTAATCTGAAGTGAGTGAAATTTATTGTAATCATATTATAGGAAAAAAAGAGAAGTACAATCTTGGCAGTCAGTGATTAATAGACGTGAAGAGAAGAATGTTAAAAGAAAGACAGAGATAAGTACCAAATTCACGGTACTATTGGCAATTGCGTTTATGTGTGTCTTTATGATATTGTGTCAAATTTAGTAGAAGTGTTAATTATACAACTACTATATTCATAATGAATTTTAAATAAATACTAATGGTAAAAAGAGTATTGTTTAGTGCTAATATATGTATACATATGTATATATATGTATACATATGTATATATATGTATACATATGTATATATATATATATATATATATATATATATATATATATATATATATATATATATATATAG